CTGGTCTTGAACTCCTGACCTTAAATGATCCATCCACCTCGGCCTCTGAAAGTGCGAGGATTACAGGCAACAGCCACCGTGCCTATTATTCAATTTTAAAAAGGAAGAAGGCCAGGCATGGTGGGTCACACCTGTTAATCCCAGCACTTGGGAGGCAGGGGCAGGAGGATCGCTTAAGCCCAGGAGTTCAAGACCAGCTTGGGTAACATAGTGGGACCCTGTCTCTACAAATAATAAACAAGTTAGCTGGGCATACTGGCATGCCTGTAGTGCCAGCCATTTGGGAAGCTGAGGCGGGAGGATGGCTGGAGCCCAGGAAGTTAAGGCTGCAGTCAGTCATGATTGTGCTCCAGCCTGGGTGACACAGTGAGATCCTGCCCAAAAAAAAAATAATAATAATAAAACAAAGTAAAAAAATTCTGATGATAAACGAACTTTGAGGACATTATGCTAAGCAAAATAAACCAGTCACAAAAGGACAGACTACATGGTTCCGCTCATATGTGGTACTTAGAGAAGTCAGGATTCAGAGACAATAAAATGGCAGGTACCAGGAGGCCGGTGGGGAGGAATGAGAAGTTGTTTCACAGGTACAGAGTTTCAGGTCTGTAAGCTGAAAAAGTCCTGGAGATGGATGGTGGTGATGGTTTTTTTTTTTTTGAGATGGAGTCTCACTCTATCACCCAGGCTGGAGAGCAGCGGTGCAATCTGGGCTCACTGTAACTTCTACTGCCCAGGTTCAAGTAATTCTCCTGCCTCAGCCTGCCGAGTAGCTGGAATTACAGGCACCAGCCACCATGTCCGGCTAATTTTTGTATTTTTGGTAGAGACAGGGTTTCATCATCTTGGCCAGGCTGGTCTTGAACTCCTGACCTCGTGATCCACCAGCCTCGGCCTCCCAAAGTGCTGGGATGACACTGTGGGCCACCGTGCTTGGCCTGATGATGGTTGCTATACAACAACACGAATGTATTTAATATGAACTGTATACTTAAAAATGGTTTCTAGGCTGGGCACGGTGGCTCACGCCTATAATCCCAGCACTTTGGGAGGCCAAGTGGATCACGAGGTCAAGAGATGGAGACCATCCTGGCCAACATGGTGAAACCCCATGTCTACTAAAAACACAAAAATTACCTGGGCGTGGTAGTCCGTGCCTGTGGTCCCAGCTACTTGGGAGGCTGACACAGGAGAAGTGCTTGAACCCGGGTGGCAAAGGTTGCAGTGAGCCAAGATTGCGCCACTGCACTCCAGCCTGACACCAAAGTGAGACTGTCTCAAAAAAAAAAAAAAAAAAAAAAAAAAAAAAAAAAAATT